CCCCGCCTCCGCGCCCAAGCTGCCCCTGCCGCCGCCGCCCGCCTCCGCCCCCGCCCCCGACCTCGACGGCTGCTCCACGCTGCGGACGGAGCTGCTGCTCACCAAGCACATAGAGATCGACACGAACCGGTGAGTGCCATCACATGTGTGTCTTATTTCTTTCATTATCACGATGTATAATAACTACGATTATTTCAAATGTTTCCTGTATCCTTAAACATGTCATGGATAATATTTTCTTCGGTTCTCAACCCTATCCACGGTTTGCTACGACAGAACTCCTGCACTTGACGATAAGCTGGATACAATATCTCTAAGGAGAGTAATAGTGAAGTAAACAAAAAAATATGTAAAAGAATCCTTAAATATTTTTGTATCTTTCATTAGCAGAATAAAAATAATGTCAATGTATGTTTAAAAGTAAATCGTTAGTTTTTATCGGCATAATTAAAATAATAAGCACATTAAAATAAAATATGGAAAATTTTAAAAAACCCGACGAGGAATACTAGTTACGTTCATTTATGTTGTTGTATGAGAGAGTTGGCTTCAGAGGAGGAGGCTTAGTTGGAGATTTGAAACATAAATTAAAGATTACTTAGTGAAATAAATGATCGAAAACTAATGTATTTAAGCACTGAAATAGTATAAACAAGTTTATGCTAAATTATTCAATGAACACTCCTATTCTGATTTGAGTGTTTGCATACAAGTAATATTAAATCTTATCCTTCGTTTCCCAAGTATTCAGGGACAGTGCAATGTCTGATTCTCGAGTGCTCTCTTGCAGTTGTTGAGGCCTTGCTCCTGGGTTGCGCAGGTTGTCGCAGAGTTCGTCAGCGGACACCGCCGAGTTCAAGTCGAAGCGCATCTCGCAGATCAGCTCGTGCAGCTCGGGCTCGTGCCCGGCGCCGCCGCCCGAGGGCGGCACCCCGACGCCCCCGCCGCTGCCCGAGCGCTCCGACTCGCTCAACAACCGCTGCGAGGAGGGCGAGCTGCGCGCCGCGCCCTGGTTCCAGGCGGGCATCCCCAGGTACGTTCCCCAGGGCGTCCGGCCGGGGGTGCATTTGCGGCGCCAACTAGGTCGCATTCTGCCGTCGACGTGGGACTTTTAGCGGCTGGCTGCTCTGGTCGGTGGTTTTCCGTGGTTTCCCCCATCAACACCTGGCGAAGGCTGGAGTAGTACCCTAAAAATGGGCCACGGATGGCGCGCGCGCGCGATTTCTCCTTACTTTTTCTTTTTCTATCTTCTCGGCTTTCTTACTCTTACACACACTACACTAACACGTGTAGAGACCTGTCGGTTTCTAGACGTCTCTAGAAACGGTGTCTTTCACGATGTCTCGGCTCTTTCGCAGTGTCGAGACCTTCGGGAGACGTGTCGGGATGTTAGAGCGTGTCCCGGTTGGGGAGTTACCTGAATGGAGAATCTCTTGCAAGTCGACGAGTAGGTCGGCGCCGGTTCTCACCAGCCAGCGGGGAAGGGGCAAAACCACCGCCAGATATAGCAAAGCGTTTACTGTACGAACGGGACTAATGACTATAGCAGTTGACGTGCGAGAAAACATAAACCCATCCGTCATTCACAAGTTGCGGGGATGCGAAGGGAAACGTTTCGAAATGCCGGGTGATGTCGTGGATCGTCCCCCTAGAGGTTGGTTGTTACCAGCTGGAAACGTATTAATTAAAGGGCTTGGGGTAGTAACAAGATAAGCCACACCGACCACTGTAAGCCATACCAGCTAAGTTCTTACGGTATTGCTTCCTCTTGCTCATATATCCAACGATTTGCGCTTTGGAGCGCTCTAGTAGTAAATATTTAGCAACACAACAATTGGTTAGCACTATATATTGCAAAAACACGCGGTTAGGGGACTCCAACGCTCCTTTATGAGCACGAACGTGACAACAATGGGAGAGCTCTATGCAGCTACACGGAGAAAAATTATCTTGGGCATTAGAGGGTTAAAGGGCTTGGGACATTAACAAGATAAGCCACACCAGCACTTACAAGCCTCCCGTCATTTGTAAAAGTTAACATCTCGTTTTGGTGAAAGTGTGGCTTATTTTTTTTCAGTGGGTCTTGTTCATTTTATGAATACCTTGGGGCAGCAACAAGATGAGTCACTTCTACTAAAATCGAGATATTAACGTTTTCTAAGAGTGGGAAGCTTGCTGTGGCTGCTACGGCTTTTCCTGATACTGCATCACGCCCTTCAATGTTTTCTTGACCAGGGATACAACTAATCCACATTAGATCCCTCGTTTATGATTTTAACGCTTTCAGATGTTCCAATTAAGGAATACAAATCAATCAAGGATATTGGACAAGGAAGCATTGACCATTTATTAGGCAAGAAAGCATTCTCTCTTATCAGTCATTCCAACTGTATTGTGCAGAACGAAGACGTTCTTCGTTTACTCACAAATTCTTTGATTCATTCACTCCTAGATTTTTTGAGTTAGAGAAAATTACCAATTCACACCCTGCGAAGGACATCCTGGGGAGGGGGTTGGAGATGAACTTAAGGAACCCACAAAATGTAGGTGTCTTGAAGAAAAATTATAGTTTTGTAAAAATATTTTGTCTTTGGGTTATATTTTGGAATTGCGGACACAAAAAGCAATGCCTTATATTGTAATTGTAAAATAATTAGTCTATAAATTGTTTTAAAAAGGTTTTCATTGGAAAATTTTTGTGGGGATTCCGTGATGAGAAAGAGGACAGTGTGTTGGTAAAGACCTACTACTCTCACAAATGTCATTGGAGATGTTTTTCTTCTGTTGCTTTCTGTAATAGGAAGTGTACCCGTTTTCCCTATGGTGTATAAATTCATTTACTTTTTCATGAGCAGAAATGCTCTGTACGTTTACGCTTCGCTGCGCATTAGTATTCGAGAAACTAGTCGTGTAATGCGCGAAATTTTATTTATTTATTTATTTATTTATTTATTTATTTATTTATTTATTTATTTATTTATTTATTTATTTATTATTATGTATTATTATTATTGTTTATGCGTTTTCTGGAGTTTCTATTATTTTATGATTTCTAGTATTTCATTTACGCGTTATTTCAATTCTGTGAGCTTTTAGTTTGTAAATGGAGTTATTACGGCAAGATTTTCGACGACATACATTGCGATTAACAGAGATGTTGTAATGCTCCATAATATGCATTCACGCATGGATATGAGAACTTGTGCGTGACCTCGTTCACTTGTGGATGAGTGTGGGTAGATACGCGCGTGCGTGTACTTTCAATGTTGCACTCGCATGTGTAAGCGTAAGAGATATTTTTAAAATGCTGCTAGGTATTGTTACCTTTAGGACTTGCCGATTGGTACTTTCAAATAAATTGCATTTTATTTTCCGTTAAATTCTCTTAATTCCATTTTGTTTTGTTATAATCTTGTGTCTAACAAGATGTTAGTATTTTCACTTCGCCTATCTTTCCTTTAATTAAGTAATTTTCTTATTTATTTCCACAGGGAAATAACACTAGAGGTTTTGGGACAGGAGCCCGTTGGAGCATTTATGGTGAGAGAAAGCACCAGTAAGCCTGGCTGTTACGCTTTGTCATTGCGGGTGCCACGAGATTTCCAGCCATCAGGAATAGCCCACTATCTCATAATGAGGACCAACAAGGGCTATAAGATCAAGGTAAGGTTAATTAAAGAAAGAACACTTGTCATTATAGACAGTGCTGTTCTCTATTCAAACATCGAGAAGTCGTGGGGACGAAGAGTGAATGGAGCTGTCATCTGGCGGTTCAATGGAGAACTATCTCCAGAAAATTAAATTATATCTTTATTTTAAAAATTCTCATCGGTATGTACAATTTAAACGATATAGCTGTTGATTGTTTAATATTTGTTAATAATGTACAATGAGGAACGGTAAAGAAATTTTACTACATTCAAATTGAAGAGTAGCTATTTTTTTAAATGAATTAATTTGGTAAGGTGACGACCTTCCTTGGATCGAGAGCAGATTCTCCAGCCTCATCCCGAATTAAGCAGATTCTCTGCCTTCCCGATTTTTTATTTTATATTTTATTGTTGGATTTTAATGATGATTCCCAAAGCTTTTTCATTATTGCGCTTTGAAATATGTTAAATTTACTTCCGCTGCTTGATTAAATTTAATAACAACATTTCATTGTTTAAAGTGAGTTTGCTTAATTGCCCATTATTGTTAAAACAGTTAATTTTTCTCATTGTTGCTCAAACTATCAGGCATTGTTGAAACGTGAATCTTAACTCAATCGCCTCAGTCAAATTAGAAAAGTACAATAAAATAGCTAATCAAGAGCTTGGAATTAGGCATCCAAAAAATCTTTATAGCCATTATTTGCTAATAATCTTTAGTGCTATTTATTGCTTTATTTAGGCTATTGGTCAAAGCTGTATTTCCTTTTCTTACGTTTACAAAAGATGGTAGGTCCGGCCCGGTCCAGTCCAGTCCAGTCTAGTCCCATCCAGTCCAGTCTAGTCCCGTCCAGTCCAGTCCAGTCCAGTCCAGTCCCTTCCAGTCCAGTCTAGTCCAGTCCAGTCCAGTCCAGTCTAGTCCAATCCCGTCCAGTCTAGTCTAGTCCCGTCCAGTCCAGTCCAGTCCAGTCCAGTCTAGTCCCGTCCAGTCTAGTCTAGTCCCGTCCAGTCTAGTCCCGTCCAGTCCAGTCCAGTCTAGTCTAGTCTAGTCTAGTCTAGTCCAGTTCAGTCTAGTCCCGTCCAGTCCAGTCTAGTCCCGTCCAGTCCAGTCTAGTCCCGTCCAGTCCAGTCTAGTCTAGTCCAGTCCAGTCCAGTCCCGTCCCGTCATTAAAGACTTATTGGTAATTTCATTACCATCATTGTACAGTTATTAGAAATGTCTTATCATTTTACTGTACCACCTTATATCATTGTACACTACCCAGACTTAGATTACAGAATAAAAATGTACGAATACAATTGTATGACGATTCTTGCAAGCGTCTCTTCATTGGAAATTTGTCTTGCCAGTTTATTTACAAATCTCAAGAAATTGTAAAAACTCACTTATGGGCAAGAACATGTTTTCATGCAATGCAGAGATTTATAATTACAACAAGCATAATATAAATCATATTCATCTGGTGTCATAATCATCAGCTCATTACAAGAAATCCTTGTATAATACATGTGTGTTTACTTCAACCACACAGTGTTTACTTCTAGAGCCTCAACAAATAAATGCTCATTCATGTAATAAAGGCTTGTGCATCTTATTATGTAATAAACTTCACTAAAAATATCAAACATCTATGTGAAGGAAGAAATGCAATGACGTTTTAATAAAGAACTTAATAGAAAGAACTTAATAGTCCTTATAAATTCAAATTACTAATGGATTAGAAATTGTATTTGTTTTATATATAATTTTGTATGGATGGATAATTATGTATTTTATGAATTATTCATATAAATGTTTGTGTGTTATGTATGAATTTTGATTTAAACTTGTGTAAATTATTACACTTTGATGATGCATAGAACTTATCACTGTATAAGTCTATTGGGAAATAAATATTATTCTGTACTATTTTATTTTACATATGTTACTTTACAACACATTGACTGATGACAGTAAACAGTTAATATTGATACTCAAATTGCTAAGTAATGTTCTTCCAGCTGCATAACTGCCTCTATACAATTATACTACCCATCGAAAAGGAAAATAATGTTTATTTTACTAATCATATATATTATTATTTAGTTAATAATATAATTTCACAATCATATGTAATACATTGGTTAATATTTGCAATGTATAGACTAAACTAAAAATGCCCGTAACAAGTAAAATACTTCAGCTTCTGGGTCAATGACCCCTATCTCAGGTTTTTCATCGTTTTCCTGATACATTGAGCAAATGTCCCAAATATAGCTTCATTGTGTGCAAATTTTTTGAGCTCTCATTTTGCTAATGTAGTGAGAGTAGAACCAGAGATTTGGTTTACTATTTTGTTAACATAAAGCCTAAAAAAATCAAAACTGAAAATTTGTTTTCTGATCCAAATGAATTTTTTATAACTCTGGAGCTAAATGTGTAGTTTTCTAGTGTTGCTAACCTTGCTTTGTTCATTACATTTTATTTATCATTCATCTATAGTAAAATAGTGGGGGAAGAAATTCTGGAGCTCAAGAAAATGTGCAGATAATACTTTTCGCCCATACATCACTTATAGTTTTTACTGCTTTAGGACAAAAATGAATCAAATCAAATAAATAAAAAATTTGGTGTTTTCCTTTCTGTTCCAGGGATTTACAAAGGAGTTCTCAACATTGACAGCTTTAATCACTCACCACTCAGTAATGCCAGAGCTGCTCCCATGCCCTCTGTCTCTCAGTCGGTACAATCCCAGCTTTGCCAAGTCAGACTCAAATCGTGATTTTGCAGATATAGACTCAGATCCTGATTATAACACACTTGCAGACTTCCGGAAAATGATGGCGGATCTCAACGTTTAGTGCTCACTAGTGCAAAATAGTGCTCTTGTATAAGAAATTTTCAGTGACTCAAAATGGATTTATCATCTTGCACTTGCATTTATAATGCACGTCAGATCAGCTATTTATTGAAGATACCAGACAATGTTTCTGTGATAAGAAAGATGTCGGTTTACAAAATCAAGTAAAACATGTACTTGTGGACATGCTTAAGGGCATTGGCGTGGTTGACAGATTTTCTGTGTTTGCTTGCTTCACCAGATTATGCCAGTGCATTATATCATATGGACAATGTTCAGTTTCTAATACAGCTATAAGAAATGAAACTAATGAGATTCAAACCTTTTTCAGTGATATTTTTAATTATATTTTGACAACTTAGAACCCAATTTCTTACACACAGAAAACCTAATTTAATGATGCTATACAAATCTTATCATTTCACGTGAATTTGGTGTATCGTTCAAATTGTTTTCTATGTTATAAGAATTGTTACTAAAGAATAATTCGTTCAATTTCAGCAAGTTTACTATAGATTATTTTTAAGTGCATTTACCTGGTTCAACATAGTCTAAATTTTAGAAATATTTCTTCTTTGAAAACATAAATGCGAACTTACAAACGGTTTATTTTGACACGAGATACTTTGGTGTTCACAACTGTGAGATGTATATGATATACATGCCCCAGAAATGTTGAAGGTATTTTACTTTGGAGATATTTAAAGTGCAAACATAATATGAAAACTAATGACCCACAGAGCCATGATATGTGTAAGGCTTGTTGTGAAGACAGAAGTAGAAAGCTAGTCATGTGAACTTGAATGTTGTCAATGTTAAAATGCTCTATACAGTGTCTGATAAAATGGCTGAATGTTCTATTCTGAATGCTCCTCCATGAGGAATGCTTTCTCCCCTGTATAAAATTTTAAAACTATATATTTATTATTATGTGTCAATTTTTTGTGTATGAAATATTAACTGTCAATAAGTACTTGCATTGGGAAAAGTTTTCTATTCTCAAAAGCAGATGATCTACAAAAGAGCTAAACATGAATGTTTCATTTCACTGAAACAACTTCATTGTTAATAACTTAAAACTGTAATAATTTTACATATTTGGGGATACCTTTTTATAACTTAATGTCTCTAAGTCATACACTAAAACAAGTAATAAAGCATGTGATGTGATATGATATGATATGATATGTTTTATCATGTATTCTGATGTGTTATTATTCTTGTCATCATGAATAATTGAGAAATTTGGGAGATAGAAAAAATTTCAGTCAAATATCAAATCAAGTGCCGAAATAAATGTTAAGTTTACATTTTCATTACTTGAGTGGTATTCGTATAAAGAGAAACACATAGAAATTTAGGATGGTATATTTTTAAACTTTTAGAGTATAAAGAAAGTAATACAAAAACAAATCCTTTAGATGAATTCTTCATAACCATCTCACTGACCACTAATAGATCTAGAAAAGTCATAATCTCCCTCTTGTGACAGGTTGTTTCTATTGCTGATGGTATGTTAGAACTAGAAAAAAAAGAAAATGCATATGTTGAGAAAACATTTATAAAGGAAGAGGCCCCTATGATGTGTATTCTTCTTTAGAACACACTTCATGCCAGGAAAATGAATGAATATTTGAATTAATTAATATTTTGACAGCTCTGATGAGAGAATTTAAATGTTCCTGAGAACATTTGGAAGAAAATCTGGAAGCTTAGTCTTGTCCCAGTTCTCAAAATATTATCATATTGATCAAATTTTATTCTATGGAATGACATTTTTTACTGTTCAAATGTTTTGTTGCCCAATATGCTAGTTTGCATTTATTTGTGCATAAACAAAAGGTAAAATATCTAGTTTATTTTTTTATGTTATATTTCCATTAAGATTGAAACATATTGAAATGAACTTGTCTTAAATTCTTTTGTCTTGTTTTTATTGGCACAAACAGTGCCAATTAGTAAATGTGAAGAAGTTACACTTCTGCACATTTATGATGTGTCTAATCATTACTGTTTGGAAAATTGCGATGTTCTGTTATGATATATGTTGGAGCTTGCATAAAATGTACATGTTTAACACACTTGAAAAGGAGGCAGTGTGTTAAGACCCTAATTTGAAGAGCTAGTCTGTACAGATATTTGTAATGTAAATAGCTTTACTTTGCTTCACGCATTAATGTTTTAAAATTTTAATGTAGCTTTATGTTCATATTGAAACATGTTTTCCCCAATTATGTGCATGTTATTGAAATGTAATTTTCACAGATCTTCCTAAACTCATGTTTACTGTTTTGGACTGAGGGTGAAAATATACATCCTAGTGGCATTCACAGATGCTAGTCACCCAGGTTAAACAAACAAAATTTAATGAAACAATGAGGCACATTGTTCTGTTGTCTCTATAATATATGTCTTGTATTTCTGAAACATTGTGACACTTTTATTCTCTTACATATTGAATTTGATCACGAAGAATGCAAAATATTCTAATGGTTTCCGAAATTAAAATATAAAAATGCATTCTAAGCTATGTGAAGATTTATAAAATTGTGCACTGAAACCTAACATGATATATAAAACATTCAGTCTCTGATTGTTTCTCCTATGCCCTGATGTGTAAAAGACAATAAAGACACATCAATGTCTTGAAATATGATTCACAAATGGACTAAAATTCTGTTTGGAAACAGACATGTGTACATTTTGTAACTGACTAGGCAGAATTTAGAATTTAGGTATTTGTTCCAAAGATCACAGATAGCTTTGTACACCCTAACATTTAAAAGGATGTGTTTAATTCATAAGACACAAATTTCATATTTAAATTTGTAAAAAGAAAATATATGTCTTGAAATTGTCATCATAACAAACATATTTTTAAAATCAGTTGTCATAAATGTATAAATTCAATATATTGTTGACATATTTTGTGTTACATGTTCAGTGTAGAAAAAAATGGAAATGAGGTAGGGTCAGTTGTGATCTGCATGATCTGAAAATCAGAATCTGTTGAAGACACAGATATATGCATTTTCCTTCTGAGTGTTTGCAAATTTAGCTTCTAGAATTCATATTGTCAGAAGAATATTATAACTATTCTATTTTGTAACTCAGACTACAAATTTGGTATTGTAACATTGCTGTATGTACTCTGATATAGGACAGTACACAAGAAATACTGTATGAGAGCAATGAAATACTTGATTTCTTAAAATAAACATGAGTTGGTGCTGTGTGATAAATGCTTGATTTAATGTATTTTTCATAGTCCTCTTTTTCTCAATGTGTGTCCTATTTACAGAGAAAATATATATATTCCATAGCTAAAAGGAATCTTTTAACCCTAATGGGAATTCTTGAAAAAATAAATAATTTACTGACTGTCCCAAGTAATACAGTTTGCTTCCTACAACAACCTTCTTCAACTTTGATTATATTTCCATTTTTTATTTTTATTTTCCATTGCAAAGCATTAAGATGTACAAGAGTTGTTGCAAAAACCAACACAATTTTCTAGTTGCATCTAGGTTAATGAAATCTTTTATGTTCAAGAGTTCATACTAAATGCCTGTCGTGTGGTGTTCATCTTGTGAATTGTAGTTAGTATGTTGAAATTACCTTTCCTCATTTTCTCAAGTACTCTAAACTTCCGTGGCAAGTTGCAATACAATTTTGAAATATTAATCTAATATTTAAAAACAGTAAACTTTTTTCTGTTAACTGTCTTATAAACTGTCTCTATAAACTGTCTTAGGGAGCACAACATTTCACACATTTAACACAACATTTCGGCGTGTTAATTGATGATGCACGAGTAAAGCTATAAAAATAAAAGGTTTTTCAACTTTTGAATATAAGTTTCGATAAAAATTTAACATGTTGCAAAATATTTGTGAATCGCTATCCTCGTGTGCAATACATTACGCACAATATACGCAATCTTCCTGCATTTAGAGAGCAAACACAAAACGTTTATTAATTACTTGGCATAAAAGCATTCGAAGTTCGCCGCTGGGCAGCGTGCGGGCCTTGGGCTCGCCTGAGCCGTGGAAGCCACCTAGAACGTGGGCTTGAGGCGAGTCACTGGCCGTGACGTCGCCGGCTGTATATAAGGAGCTACGGGCGCCAGAGTACTGCGCACCTCCAGAGTAGCGAGAGTGTGTAGGAGTAATTCTGTCTACGCCGACTGTACCAGCTTTGGATAATCTTCTTGGGCATTGTTGAGTGAACTCCCCTACGAACTGGCGCATCTCCTGGCGACGACAGTGGTTTCGACCCATGGTACAGCTCCTGGATGTGTTGTAACAACCATTGTTATCGGTGCGAGATGGAACGTTGGAATTGTGTAAGTGCACAATAAATATTGTTACTTTACAACGCATTGCCAGATATATGTATTTTCTTGGCGCGACAGCCCGTGAACTGGCTCGGACAACGTCCCTGCCTCGCGGCCATGGGTCAAGAGGGTACGTGTGGGTAGCACATAGACATCCCCACGCCGTATTTCGTTCTTCTCAACCTGAGAAGTGAAATTTCTCAACGTCACATAACAGATACTGGGACATTACAAGGAAAACTCACACTATGGTCTTGGCTCGACTGGGAATTGAATCCGGGGCCACGTAGTGGAAAGCGAGCGCTCTGACCAAGAGGTAGGCACGAGCCATTGCCAGATGACATTATACAATTAAAATCTGCACACAAATTTAAGATAAAAGTAAAATATTTTCTGCTGCATAAGTGTTTTTGTACATTAAAGGCTATACTGACATCAAAGAGAAAAATATTCATTTTAACAAAACAATTATATATAATGCATTAATTTACATTATTGTATAATTTTAAGAAAATAATTTAGGTGCCAGTAAAGAGTCGTGTACTTAAGCTTCCAGGTCAATGCCACCCCTCCTCAACGATCAGGTTTTTGTCCGGGTTCTCTGATCTATTGAGCATATGCTAAAGTAGCCCATTCTTTTGCTTCTGGCCGTAACTTCACTATAC